CCCAGAACTGGACACAATACTCCAATTGAGGCCTAATGAGCACACAGTAGAGCAGAAGAATGATTTCTCGTGTCTTGCTCACAACACTCCTGTTAATGCATCCTAGAATCATGTTTGCTTTTTTTGCAACAGTGTCACACTGCTGATTCATATTTAACTTGTTGTTCACTATGACCCCTAGATCTATTTCTGCAGTACAGCCAGTCCCCAAGTTACGAACGGGTTACGGACCAAACACTTGGTCGTAACTCAAAATGTTCATAAGTCGGACCCAATTGAGTTACATTGCAACCGCGCTGTTCATAAGCGTGGTTTGCGTTTGTAAATCGGGGACCGCCTTTACGACCGCTTAATGGGAGGTTTGGTCATAAATGTGAACGGTTGAAAATCGACCGTTTGTAACTCGGGGACCGGCTGTACTCCTTCCTAGACAGTCGCTTCCCATTCTGTATGTATGAAACTGATTGTTCCTTCCTAAGTGGAGTACTTTGCATTTGTCCTTATTAAACTTCATCCTATTTACCTCAGACCATTTCTCCAGTTTGTCCAGATCATTTTGAATTATGATATTATCTTCCAAAGCAGTTGCAACCCCTCCCAGCTTGGTATCATCTGTAAACTTAATAATCGTTCTCTCTATGCCAATAACTTAATGGTTGATGAAAATATTGAACAGAGCTAGTCCCAAAACAGACCTCTGCGGAACCCCACTTGTTATACCTTTCCAGCAGGATTGTGAACCATTAATAACTACTCTCTGAGAACGGTTATCCAGACAGTTATGCACCCACCTTATAGTAGCCCCACCTAGGTTGTATTTACCTAGTTTATTGATAAGAAGGTCATGCAAGACCATGTCAAGTGTCCTACTAAAGTCTAAGTATACCACGTTCACCACTTCTCGCTTATCCACAAGGCTTGATATCCTATCAAAGAAAGCTATCAGATGATTTGACATTTCCCAACCCCGCCATTTTTACCATTGGCCTCCCTCCAATTGTCCTCCTTCAGATCTCTATTTAAAGCTCTCCATTGCCTTGATGCCTTCAAAAGCTTAACAACAGTTAGGCTGCTCACAGGCTAACTTTACTGCCTACTTTACTGACCAATAGTGGGTATATCAATTGTGCAATCATAGAGTATAATTCCAGTTCAAGTAGACAAAATGAATAAGCTCAATAGAGAATATATATAGTTTCAACAGCTGGGAAAAATTGTTCTTCTATGCTATACCTGGAGTTGTGAAAACACATTGTAAAAGCAGACGGGCCAGACCTTGATTTGATGTGTTTCTTAACAGCTAGTGCTTGTGGAATGGACCATGTACACAGTGCTTCTGGCAGTTGTCATGTTCCTTTTCAGCTTTGCACTCTGTGCTTCATGGGTTAGTTTGTGGATTGTGGGGGGCTTATTTGCTGTACACCAAAGAAGCACGGAGTAAATGCAATGAGAAAATACATGATAGATCATTTTCAGCCTGAAATAATGAGCATTGGGAAGAATTACCAAAAGCTGAAAATGCAAATTTGGATGCTGCAGGGGACTGGGCTCTGAGGATTTGGGTTTGAATTTTCTCCAGC